AAAAAAAAAACATCCTATTTGATAGGTAAGAAAATGAGGCTTGAGGATGAGTGACTTGTCCAACTAGAGTTAATAAGAGGCCCAGTTACAATTCAACCCACAACTCTGAGAAAACATAACCCATTTTTCTATAAGCCAAGGTATTACATTATAGAAGCACAACTCATGAATAGCATCTTGGTAAGACAAATTACACTTATTTTATAAGCCAATAGGACAAAAAAAAGGGGAGGAGATCTTTAATCTTGATCCTACAATAAACTAGATCAGCAGTGATATAGCTAACACTTATGTAGCTCTCAGTGTGATCCAGGGATTAACACTTCATATCTAATCTTTCTGACAACTTCAGGAGGAAAGATTTTAGACCCATTTCTGATTTGAAAATTGAGGTACAGAAAGGTTAAATCATTTGTCCAGGGTCAAACAGCCAATAAATGCCTTTTTTTTTTTTTTTAAGAGACAAGAGCCTCACTTTGTTGTCCTTAGTAGAGTGCCATGGCGTCACACAGCTCACAGCAACCTCCAACTCCTGGGTTTAGGCGACTATCTTGCCTCCCAAGTAGCTGGGACTACAGGTGCCTGCCACAACGCCTGGCTATTTTTTGTTGCAGTTTGGCCAGGGACCGGTTTGAACCCACCACTCTCGGTATATGGGGCCAGTGCCCTATTCACTGAGCCACAGGCACTGCCCTAGACTCTGTCTCTTATTAAAAAAAAAAAAAACGAGAAGTCCCCTCAGCTATCAAGGGCAAACTCTATAAACACAGAAACCCTATCTGATTTTTCTGGGCCTCAGTTTCCCATGTATAAAATATGAAGGTGTCAGTACAGACAATTTTCTAAATTTGTTTCAGTTCAATGATTCTTTGTACGGAAAAGAATAACAAGTCCTAAAGAAATATCTGAGCTTAAGTGCAATATTTGCTCATTTACAAATTCCTTTGTTATCCTAACTGGAGGATTTTATATCAATAGAGGACACTAGTCAGTTTTTCCTTTCTTTTTTAGAGACAGAGTCTCACACTATCACCCTCAGTAGAGTGCCGTGGCGTCA